CAGTGATGAATTTTCATATAATTTAAACTTTCATTATAATTATTAAAATGATGATATTATTATCTGTGTCAATGTGATAATTATGATTTATTTATAATAAGTTGTATTTGTTTAGATATTTTATTTTAATCTAAAATATTCAACATTTCTTTAAATTTAATAATTTATTGAATGTGGATGATCTGTATTTGTTCTGCTTGATCTGTATTTTGTGATATGTGTTCTCCATTCGAAGCCTTGGTTTCTTAAATCACATTTTTTTTGAATATATGTTAAATTTATTCAAAATAAAACTATCATTTTTTTTACAACAAGTGCATCTGTTTTTTTTAGCAAACTAGAACTTAATGACAACCCAAATATGTTATCTTGTGGCCACATTGATAATGCTCCTCTATACTTCAGGTCTCCTATTTGTTGCAGTAAGAGACATCTTTTTTGACTTGCCTGTCAATTAACTTCACCAGGGGCTGCTAATAATATGGGTGTACCACCATGTCTACGTTCATTTCATCGGAACCTTTCCAGCCATCCTTCATTGTTATCCATAATCAGCATCATAAGCTCCAACCACAGAGTTGTGAATGAGCCCTGTAGCAAACCTCGCATCAATTTCGACCAGACTTCTGTCGAATAGCTACACTCAAAGAAGATATGATCTCTTGATTTCCATCACATTCTGACAGAGAACAAATGATGGATTAACGCCTACATTCCAGGTCATCATTCGATCCCTAGTTGCCAATCTATTTTGGATTGCTAACCAATGAAGGAAAACATATTTCGGAATGTGGTGCCTAAACCAGATGCTCTTTGACCATTGAACCGGGGGATTTTCTTTTCACTGTAGGAAATATATCGTTGTATTAATAAATTTTAAAATTCGATCACTTATAGCTAAATAAAAAAAACCCTACCGATTAAATTCTACAGTTAATTTTCTACAGTACAATCGAACCAATCACCCCCCCCCCCACACAATAACCAAGTGAAAACATCTTGGAAGAATGTGATCTCCTCTTGGCTAAAATAAATTTGTTGCTTTGGACCTCATTCTTATTTTCATGACTAAAAGTTATCATGGTTTAGTTGATTTAACAAGATTCTTCTTTAGAGTATGAACTGATTCTCTGAGTTTGAGTTAATATCATGAATTATGGATGTATCTTTGACAAATTAAATCTTCTTATAGTTGTTTTATATATTAGATAGTTGAATCTCATAGTTTTGCCTTAATTTCACACATTCAACTCATTTACGTCTAAGTTTTTACCTCTTAAAACATGTACATAGAACTGCCGCTGACAATATTTTGCGGAAATTGAAATCTGATATGGAGATGTGGCATCAAATTCCTGATATTATAAGTAACTCACTAATCATTGTAAGCAAACATTTTGCTTTTAGTATAAATTATCATCCAACTTAGTCAATTGAAACTTTTTTAAGAGATACTTGTTGAACCATTTTTTTGTTCCATTCTCAGGTTGCAGAAAACACAGTGAAGTATCGATGACACACTGTATGGTCTAAGACAAGATCAGTTTAAGAAGTTCATGTTAATATCATTATACAGGTTTTTAGTTTCTCAAAATATGAGATGACTTTTCAGACGAATAATGAGCTGAAGTTTTACAAATAATTTTACAAATTGTAACATATTGTAACTAAATCATTACAAGCAAACATTATGCTTTTAGTGTAAATTATCATCCAACTTAGTCAACTGAAACTGTTTTTAGAGATACTTGTTGAACCATTTTTTTGTTCAATTCTCAGGTTGCATAAGACACAGTGAAGTACCGATGAAACACTGTATGGTCTAAGCCAAGATCAATTTAAGAAGTTCATGTTGATATCATTATGCAGGTTTTTTGTTTTTCAAAATATGAGATGACTTTTCAGACGAACAATGAGCTAAAATTCTACAAACTGTAACATATAAATCTTTGTAATTGTTGACGTAGTGCAATTCTTATTCAGTTTGTATTGCTCTTCGACTATCTTACATATATGCCAATAGTGTAATAAGAGAACTTTATTTTTGAATCCTACTCTTTGGTTATCTTTTTGATGTTTTTTCCATTTCTTGTTTCACCAATTACAGATAATGAAACATATATTAATCTACCTCCTACAACTTGACCATGGTGACACCAATAACCATGTACATTGTAACCATGATGATAATAGTATGTGTATACTAATTTGTTAAATACATTGAGGATTAACAGTGGGTGGTTTATGATTAACTATGTCTTCATGAAATTTTGGTTTTACTCGAGAAAATATAAGAAGTATCATAAATATATCAATTTAAATGAAGATTGTTGTTTGATATAAATTTTGATGGTAGTCGGCTTCAGTATGTTTCATGTTATTGCTGATGTGAGCTTTCGGTTGTTCTCTCATTATCAAATCAGTGAACACAATCGTTATATTTCAATTGCATCTATTATACATTTTTATTAATCTTTATCTCACTTTGTAATCTTCTTTTAACAACTTTATGGCCTACTGGTCTAGTAAAAAAACATCTCTGACTTCGTTAAGTTTATATGCCTTCCCCTAAGGCGTACACATCTAAAGGTTGTTGTTTGGGGCACAACCTCAGATACATCTCATGTAGTATTAGGGCAACTCAAGACATGCGTGATCTTGTTTGGAAGATACATTATCTTTGGCTCTAGCCCGGTCCCATAAGCATCTGCATCAATGTGGCATGTGAAAAGACACCGGAGTAACCTTAGTTTTTGCTGAGCTATATCTCTCGAAGACGACCACTACAAATATCATATATATAACTTATATGTTAGGAGTTTGTACTATTGGTTTCCTATTTAACATTTTGTGTTATCTAATCTATAATTGAATAGCAAAGAACGAAACACATTTTTTTAATTTAATGCGACTGTCTGAGATGTACACTTTTCATTTTTTGCTAGACATAAAAACCACAGAACTGACTGTAACGATGATTTAAAACTGTAAAAAAATTAAAGCTACAAGCCTATAACGAAACATCTAGGTGTACCGTCGAACCCTCAAGCAATTAACTTTTTAGTTTGACATCAATTTTTACACACTAAAATAAATGGTGTAGTTTTGAAGCATCAATAACTTGGTGACATGTTTTTCAATAGGAGTTGCACTCAGTAAAAAATTCAAATATAAAAACAAAAGCATTCTTAAAATGATATAACACAGATGTTACAAAAAAAAATGATATAACACAAAATTGTTTTTTTAATAGTTCTTTTAAGACAAAAAATGATTTTCTCTTTTTATTTGTTTTAAAATTGAGAAAGCTTAAAGAAAAACTTTGATTCTAATGTACTATAAATTCATAATTCTGATTTTGAGATTTTATTTATAAATTATATAGTTCTGAATTTGAAGATCAGAATGTAACAAAACAATTTTTTTGATAAAGTACATATTTTTGAATTATGTGTATTTTATTCTTTAAGAAAAATAAAAGGAGAAATTGTTTTTTTAGACCAAAAAATGGTAACATTGTCCCCTAAGACTAATTTCTTTTTGTACCATTTTTTCCCATAATACATTTTATTAATTTCGAAAATAAATTAAATAAATAGTTTTAGAAACCAAAAAAACAACTAGTTATGAAACATCAATATCAATTTAGTGGTATTTTTTTCAAGTTCTAAAAATGTATAAATTGTTTTTTTTTCAAATTATATTCTACATAAATCAGAAGTGACATTCTACAAATTAGAAAATGAAATCCACTTTTTTCATTGAATCTACTATGTTTAGAATAGACATTCCTCGCTTAAACTATCATTCTAAAATCAGTAGAAAACGGATTCTACACATTGCTATAAATCTAAATATAAGTAGAAATCATAATCTACAAATTATTATAAATCTAAAACCTGTAAAACATGATTTCAAACCTTATTATTATATTCTACATTTAGTAGAATACACATTCTACAAATAAGAATATTATGTTCCGAAAATATAGGAAGATAATATTTGAAATTCGTTTTTTCATTAGAAAAAAATAAACAGAAAAAAACTGATTTGAGATCGATCGCTGGGATCGCCCGACTCTTTCTGGGATCGATCGATCCCGTCGTATAGAGCAGTTTCTTTCGTCTTTCTTTTTTTCCGATATGAAGATTTTTATTTTTAACTTTTTTTACGAATTTTAAGTGAATTTAAGCGCATTATTGCTATTTAGAAAATATTTAGTCTAATAGGGCATAAAGTACTAGAGATTAGTCTAAAGAGACAATATTACCATTTTTTGGCCTAAAAAAACTATTTTCTCAAATAAAAAATGCAATTTTCTTCTAACACTTGATATTAATAACTTGATATCATTATATATTTTATATGATAACTAATATAAAAAAATAAAAAAATTTGACATTTTAAATTGATAATTTATATAACTATGATTTTGAATTTTGTATAGTCATGTTCTATCAAAATTTGCGTTTAATTATCCAAAGATATCAATTGTAAATTAATTAATATTCATAAATATATATTATTTATACATCTACATCAAAAACATTTAATCAAATAATTATATTATTTTATATCAGATTTGATTCTTTTTATAGTTGATAAAATTCAATATGTGTGAAATTTATTTAGTAATTGTTTTTTGATATTAATACTTTATAGATCTTTATTTTATATGTGTTGAAATCTGATTACTAATTCTAATATGTGTATGATTATATTTCAGTTAATATTTTTTTAGAAAACAGATTTGATAAAGCAATATATATCGGAGATATGTACATTTTTAATTTGTATATCTGGAAATAAATTTTGTTAGTTTATCTAGTAACAAAATAGAAAAAAATAAGGGAAAAGTTAATTATAGGAAATAGTAATCCTAATTATAAAGGAAAAAGAAACTAGAGAAGGATCTAGAAACCCTATTCTCTGTGACTATATAAACATCACTTCTCCCATAACTTAGCACCCTCTCGTACTTGTTGGCTGCTCTCTTTTCTCTGAACATCGATAAACCCTAGATCTCCCCGATAAGCAGCGCAAAGATGGCAGATGCCGAGACTTTTGCCTTCCAGGCGGAGATCAATCAGTTGCTCTCGCTCATCATCAACACGTTCTACAGTAACAAGGAGATCTTCCTTCGTGAGCTCATCAGTAACTCCTCCGATGTACGTCGTCTCTCTCTCTCTTGATTTCTCTTGGGATCGATCTGTAGATTAGGTTTGATTAGTGTTAGTTACTCTCTCTGATTTGATAATGGAAGTAGATAACTCTGAGTTATAGTGTTGCTTACGATTCGAGGTGATTTAGGTTTAGATTGATTGTTTTACGTCAGTTACGAGATTAGGCTTAGTGCCTTTTCTCTTGAATCGATCTGTAAAATAAGTTTGATTAGGTTTGTTGCTCTCTCCGGTTTGAAATTGTAGTAGGCGTCTGTATGATATTCAACTCTGCTTATGGCCATAGTGTTTTTACCATGGTTAAAAAGTAGGTGTTAAGCTTAGATTGGTTTTGTTTTCGTCACTTATGAGTTAAATTGATTGCTGCCGTGGTTAAGCATTATGTGTCAAGCTTGGATTGATTCGGCTTGTTTGTATGCGTTCTGTGAATTTTGTTACTTATAGTTTGGTTCTGATTTTACTGTGTTGATGCAGGCTTTGGACAAGATTAGGTTCGAGTCCTTGACCGACAAGAGCAAGCTCGATGGCCAGCCAGAGCTATTCATTCACATCATTCCTGACAAGGCTAACAACACCTTGACCATCATTGATAGTGGTATCGGTATGACCAAGGCTGATTTGGTCAACAACCTTGGAACCATTGCGAGGTCTGGCACCAAGGAGTTCATGGAGGCGTTGGCTGCTGGTGCTGATGTTAGCATGATTGGGCAGTTTGGTGTTGGTTTCTACTCTGCTTACTTGGTTGCTGATAAGGTCATTGTCACCACCAAGCACAATGATGATGAGCAGTATGTGTGGGAGTCTCAGGCAGGTGGGTCTTTCACCGTGACCAGAGACACCTCTGGAGAGAGTCTTGGCAGGGGTACGAAGATGGTCCTTCACCTCAAGGAGGATCAGTTGGAGTATCTTGAGGAGAGGAGGCTTAAGGATTTGGTCAAGAAGCATTCTGAGTTCATCAGCTACCCAATCTCCCTGTGGATTGAGAAGACCATTGAGAAAGAGATTTCTGATGACGAGGATGAGGAGGAAAAGAAGGATGAGGAAGGAAAGGTTGAGGAAGTAGATGAGGAGAAAGAAAAGGAAGAGAAGAAAAAGAAGAAGATTAAGGAGGTTTCTCACGAGTGGGACTTGGTGAACAAGCAGAAGCCTATCTGGATGAGGAAGCCTGAGGAGATCAACAAGGAGGAGTACGCTGCCTTCTACAAGAGTCTCAGCAATGACTGGGAAGAGCACTTGGCCGTGAAGCACTTTTCAGTTGAGGGACAGCTCGAATTCAAGGCTGTTCTCTTTGTTCCCAAGAGAGCTCCTTTTGATCTCTTTGACACCAAGAAGAAGCCTAACAACATCAAGCTTTACGTCCGTCGTGTCTTCATCATGGACAACTGTGAAGACATCATTCCAGAGTACCTTGGATTTGTCAAGGGTATTGTCGACTCTGAAGATCTTCCTCTCAACATCTCTAGAGAGACTTTGCAGCAGAACAAGATCCTTAAGGTCATCCGCAAGAACCTTGTGAAGAAGTGCATGGAGCTCTTCTTTGAGATTGCTGAGAACAAGGAGGACTACAACAAGTTCTACGAAGCATTCTCTAAGAATTTGAAGCTTGGTATCCACGAGGACTCTCAAAACAGGACCAAGATCGCTGAGTTGCTCCGTTACCACTCGACCAAGAGTGGCGATGAGTTGACCAGCCTCAAGGACTACGTGACAAGGATGAAGGAAGGTCAGGAGGACATCTTCTACATCACCGGTGAGAGCAAGAAGGCTGTGGAGAATTCTCCATTCCTTGAGAAGCTCAAGAAGAAAGGGTACGAGGTTCTTTACATGGTTGATGCCATTGATGAGTATGCCATTGGTCAACTCAAGGAATTTGAGGGAAAGAAGCTCGTGTCTGCAACCAAGGAAGGTCTGAAACTTGAAGAGTCAGAGGACGAGAAGAAGAAAAAGGAGGAGCTAAAGGAAAAGTTTGAGGGACTCTGCAAAGTGATCAAGGACGTTCTTGGAGACAAGGTCGAAAAGGTTATTGTCTCTGACCGTGTTGTGGACTCACCTTGCTGTCTGGTAACAGGTGAATACGGCTGGACCGCAAACATGGAGAGGATCATGAAAGCGCAGGCTTTGAGAGACAGCAGCATGGGTGGTTACATGTCTTCCAAGAAAACAATGGAGATCAACCCTGAGAATTCGATCATGGACGAGCTAAGGAAGAGAGCCGAAGCTGACAAGAATGACAAATCTGTGAAAGATCTTGTTCTTCTCCTGTTTGAGACTGCCCTTCTCACTTCAGGTTTCAGCCTAGACGAGCCCAACACTTTCGGGAGCAGAATCCACAGGATGTTGAAGCTGGGGTTGAGCATTGACGAAGATGATACCGCTGAAGCTGATGCAGAGATGCCTCCGCTTGAAGATGATGCCGATGCCGAAGGTAGCAAGATGGAGGAGGTCGACTAATTGGTGCCCAGATAATGGTTTTTCTCGACTTCTCTGATCCTTTTTATCGTTGAAACTTTATCATTTTGGTATTTTTCTCTTCTAGAGTATTATTTGCTTTCTGTCCGAACCTATCTATTACTTTCAAGTTTCAAGTAAGAAAATCCAGACAGTTTTTGCAAGATTGATAGCCTTCCGGATCTGATTTTATTTTGTGAATTAGAACTAATCATAGTGTCTGCATAGCGAACGCACTTTGCTCCGACAGCATCATAGTAACTCACGTCTTGGTTTCATGAGACGCATGTTGCTTTGATTTCCGTCTGCAAGGTGCTTTGTATTCTGTCTGTTTGCGTTAGGAAGGTTGCTCTTTAGCTTTAATAGTAGACGACTTATGTGGTCAGGCATTTTGAAATGTTCCTGACCGACCCCTCTTCCCATCTGTTTATCTATTGTATGGTAAAAGACTCATGTTTGAGCTTTGTGTTATGCATCTGTAAAAAAGATGTAGAAGTGGTGGTGGACGAGTAAATGGCAGTCTGTTTCTTGTTTGTGTGCAAGTAAAAGTATAATTGTGCAAGAATGAGAATAGTGGCATGTAACTTTGTATTATTATGGTCAGCATTTGCACTTACAATTTACTCAAATAACAAAACAAAAACACAGTTCAAAAGCAAACCTCTTTTGCTTGGTTTGATCAGCTGGTTGCTCTTTTATCTTAAGGATCAACGGTGCAAAAATCTTATTCTAAACGATGAAATACAAGGTGCAATTTGAAAGATCGATAACTTTGATGCTTGACATACTCTAGGATAAAAGATGCCAAATCTTTTTAATATTAAGTGTCAGTATCGTATTTATAAAAGAAGAAATCAATACAAATTATATTTTATTATGGGGAAGGTTAAAAATTCTTTTAATTTTACCCCTCATTTGGTTTCTTGAGCTTTGTAGTTGGTATCCAAGGGAGAATAAAATTTTTTTAAAATGGTTCAGCATTTCACACGGAAAGAGATGACGTAATACGACAAAAAAAGGTATCCGCCTAAACCCAATTCAAATTCAAAATAAATAAATAAAAAATGAAAAGAAAAGCATAAGTCCCTTCTTAATTGAACAGCAAAAAAAAAAAAATAGAAGGAGAAAATGAAATCTTCAGGTAGAAAAGCTCTCCAGCCCAGAAACATCTTCAACAATGCCCCAGCAGCAGCAGCAGATACTCAACTTGAGCTGAAAAAGGCCAAAGCTCCTACTCCTACTCAACCTCATGATGATGCCATTGCCAAGGAGAATCATCTTCTTCTTCAAGTTCCAGTTGTTGAAGGGATGGACGCTTCTCTAGCTGAGGAGCTGAGTGCATTCAAGAAGAAACTGGAGAGGATGAGAGAGGATCGGGAGAGGACAGAGAAACTGCTGGAGGAGAGAGACAAGGACATGGATCTGAAGATGAGCCAGCTGCTCCAAAGAGGAGAGATCCAGAAAAGCCTTGAAATCCAGGTGGATCGTCTCTTTAGATTGAAGGAGCTCCACGCTTATTCCTCTGTAAGCAAAAAAAAAAAATATGTTTCCATTTCTACAAACAGAGAAACAAAACATTAAATTAGTTAATTAATGTGTCTTTCTTTTGGTGGTCTTAAACAGAAAATATTGCCAGTACCATCTCTGAGAGAGAAAGAGGAGGAGAAGAGGAAAAGCTTCAGCTTCGTAATCATTCCCCCTTCACCCATCCATTCTTCTTCTTCTTCTAACTTCCCGTTTCAGCCCCAACATTTTAGGGAGGAGCAGAATCCACAGGATGTTGAAGCTTATGCTGAAGGTAGCAAGATGGAGGGAACTGACTAAAAAGCCTTGCCCAGTTAATGTTCCTTTTTGTACACGAACTGTTTTATCTATTGCTTTTAAGTACGAAGAGAGGGGTTTTGCAGGGATCTTGATTATATTTTGTTGTGAACTACAAGTAATGATGATAGTGTCTTGTACAAGCGAAGACACTTTGTTTTTTCTGTCTGTTTTGCCTAAGGAAGGAGCATTACTCTTTTGGTTTGATAGTATACATTAGTGTTCTTTGATTAGGCAGACAAGTCACACGACTCGAGAGTTCTAATACTTTAGTCTTCTTTGGCCATTGTTATAGTCTTGTAGAAACGTTGGTTATCTCGGAAAGATAACTTTGGTCTCTGAAATTTTTTTGATCGGTGGTTCAGTGTTATGCTATTATTATCTTAAGTACAGTAGTGGTGCTTCTCCCATCTATTATTATTGTCTATTGTTTGGTAAAACTGATTCATGGTTTGAGCTTTGTGATTATGCTTGTGTGAAAAAAATGTTGAAGTGGTGCATGACAGATTTCTTGTTTGTTTGTAACTAGAAGTATTACCGTGACAGACGTAGTTGGTAAACAGAAGAATATCACATGATCAAGTGAAAGTTATAAGTTTAATATTATTAGCACCTAAAAGTTCCTCAAATAACAAAAAACACACAGAGGTTAAAGTAAACCCTTCTACTTAGTTGAGATCAATGAACTTAGAAAACATATTAAGATGCAAAAGTTGGAGCTACAAACTTTTGAGTTTTAATCGACCGAAACCCCAACCAATCAACTTCCAAATTTAACTTGACGAGCTTATAATTAAGGAATGAAATACAGGGTGCAATTGGAAACATCGATCACTAAAATTTGCAATTTAATAAAAGAAACTTAAAAGCTTCGTGGACTTTTATAGAATTTCAGATAACGTAACGTACTAATACTGAAATTAAAAAAGAATCACGTATTCCGGTATAAACAAGGGCCGAACCGGACCCGGTTATATGAGCTGAGCTCCACTGGCGTTAACAAAAAAAAGATAATGATCTCATCTCAGAACGTCTCTTGATTACTTTACGGCTTCATAAATTGAAAGGGACTGAGTCGAGTTAAGGATGGGAGGAGGCAACGGAGAATTGAAGTATGAGATCTCACAGAACGCTTACATCAAACTCGTCCTCCACTCTCTTCGTCACAAAACGGCGGCGGTCAACGGAGTCCTCGTCGGTCGAATCAGCTCCAAGGACGAAGGCATCGTTGAGATCTCCGATTCCGTGCCGCTCTTTCACTCCAACCTCTCTCTCCTTCCTCCTCTCGAGATCTCCCTCGTCATGGTCACTCTCTCTTCTTATAATTCTGTTTCTTATAACACTCTTTTCGCTGATTCAAATCCGTTTGATTCTTTGAAAATTGAATATTGAAAACAAAAATATTATCTGATTGCTATTGGTTTGGATATTGAAATTGACTTTTTAGTTCATGTAGTAAATGCAACTGCAGCTTGAATTCTAAGTACATTATTATTACTCTTGTTTCTGTTATAACATAGAAAGTTCAGATCTTTGGATTGTTCTGTAACTGTGTTTGGGAGAGAGAGAGAGAGTTAGTGTCTGTATCAATTGGCGATCCGAATTTAAGTTCGTGTCTTAAAGTAATTACAGCTGCATATGCTATAACTAGCTCCTTTCTTGCTGTCCTGTCTTTTGCTTTCCCAGTACAGTCTTACTCTTGTTTCTATCATAACGTAGAAAGTTCTGATCTTTGGATTGTTCTGGTTCAACCCACCAGCACAACATTTTTCTGTCTGTAGCTGTGTTTGAGGGAGAGAGACAGAGAGAGTTAGTGTCTGTATCGATACGAATTTTAGTTCGTGTCTTAAGTAATTTCAGCTGGCACATGCTATTGCTAGCTCCTTTCGTGCTGTTCTGTCTTTTGCTTTCTCAGTACAGTCTTACTCTTGTTTCTGTTATAACGTAGAAAGTTCAGATCTTGGATTGTTCTAGTTCAAACCACCAACACAACATTGTTCTATATGTAGCTGTATTTGAGAGATAGAGGGAGAGAGAGAGAGTTAGTGCGAATTTTAGTTCGTGTCTTAAGTAATTTCAGCTGGCACATGCTATTACTAGCTCCTTTCGTGCTGTTCTGTCTTTTGCTTTCTCAGTACAGTCTTACTCTTGTTTCTGTTATAACGTAGAAAGTTCAGATCTTTGGATTTTTCGGGTTCAAAACCACCAACATAAACCTTGTTCGGTAGATGTGTCTGAGAGAGATTTATTGTCATTATCAATACTTTGCTCTCTCTATGCGAATTGGCAAATGGGAAAGTTTGTTGCGTTTCTTTACTTTGTGTGAGATTCTAAACTTATGGACTCGGTTATTTTTTTTGATGTGTTTAGATAGAGGAGCATTACGTGGCTCAAGGTTTGAGTATTGTTGGCTACTTTCATGCCAACGAGAGGTTCGACGATGTGGAGCTCTCTGGTGTGGCTAAGAATATTGGTGATCATATCTCTCGCTATTTCCCTCAGGCGCCAATTCTCTTGGTGTGGAAGCTCTTATCCTCTGCTATTCACTCAAAGCAGGTTTATTGAATCACTACGTCTAACTATGAATGTTGTTTTGTAGTTGGACAACAAAAAGCTTGGAGCCTTGTCAAAGGGTAAAGATCGAAGCCCTGTGATGCAGGTTTGTATTTTTATAATCAGTAACAAAGTTTTTGGAAAGCTTAGTATATATATAGCATGGATATGAGATTTAGAGGTTTAGTCAGTTAAGGAGGGAGTATAAATGAAGGCCAATCTACACCAGTATAGCTTCTTGGCATTTGAAAGTATTTTATGTTGTTATTGCTATATAGGTAATATACTGTTAATGTTAAGATATAAAACATGACTATACTAACTAATTACATTGCCAGACGATCTGCTTGATTTTTGCTATAAACTTTCTTGACACTAAGCTTATATGTTACTTTAATCAACACTTTTCTCGCCCTTTTCTTTTCCTGCAGTTTATAGGTCAAGTTTTTTTTTGTTTTGTTTACTAACACTTTATGTTTATTGTATATGTTAGCTTTGTGTGAAAGATGCTTCCAAGAACTGGAGAGTGGTCGGAACAGATGGGGGAAGCAAGCTACTCTTGAAAGAGCCATCGGCTAATGTAGTTTTGTCAGATTACATTTCATCTGAGAAATGGAAGGACGTCACAGATTTTGATGATCATCTTGATGATGTCACCAAGTAAGCTAAAATACACATGAACTGCAAAAAGCTATAATGTACACGATGGTAATATCTCACAGATTATTATTCACTGTAATTGCAGGGACTGGCTAAACCCTGGACTTTTCAACTGAAGACGGGTATGCGATATTGCTAATTAGAGTGTTAGCTTTCCTCATCTTCAGTCGAAAAACAAAACATTTACAATCTCCATCTTGTTCAAGTTCTTTCCGGCTTACCCAGCAGAGCTCAATTTACTTTTAGTGGTCATATCTTAAACCCTTGTTTTATCATTTAAATGATGTCTTGTAGGGCTTGTTCTCGTGATTCACTTTGTTAGCTCATTGGCTGCACTTTGATTATATAGTTGGAATGAAAGCTTTGCGTTATTTGGTTGTTCTTCTTGAAATTTGCAAAGTACATAGTTAAATCCTAAAGAACATGAAACCCTTTCGGGAAATACTCTTATCTGCATCAAACTTAAAACACTGGACAACCTTTAACGGCAACACCTTTGGCGGTCTGGGCAATGGTCTGAATTATCAAGCACCCACCAATCAGGTAAAGCTTATGTCATTGTCCTTTGTTGTTGTCGTTGCCTTCTTCCACCGTATAAACCTTGAGATACAACAAACACAACATATGCTTAGAAGAAGACAACATCAAATCAGGTAGTCAATAAGATGTTGAAAGCTCCTTACGTTCCGTCATAGAGAGCCAGTCACTAAGTTCCTCATCTTTCTCACATACAAACTGTATTATTTGGTTTTAATATTTGTAAGACCAAACAAAAAACAAATTGTATAATCGTAGACGACAATGTGTGTATATCGAAAGTTGAAAGGCTATGAATTCAGCTTTTTTGGGGAAAAGATGATTATAAGTTAGGGAATTGTCAGTGAGCTGTTGATTGGTTGTAACTTGTAAGTAGTTAGTTAGATACCAGAGATCTCTCTCAGAGGTGGGACTTGTGTTGGAGAACATGACAACCCATTCTTCATATATCTCTGTCTTGTGTCTTGTTCTGGGACCTCTCAATATTAATATTTGATTATTATTTTTCCTTTTTTGCTTTTTAAAAACAATTTGCATTATTTAGAATTTATTTTCTTATATAAAAATATTTCAAATATTCTTAAATCATTAAAGATATCTAACTGGTCGTTTATATGATTCAATCAATCAATTTTTGTATTATGATGGTATGAATAATTCAATATAATTTGTTTACTTTTAGCGTGATTTTTATTATATTCGAAAGAACATATATATGTCTGCTGTTCAAAAGAACATTTTTGCTAGCAAAAAAAAAGAAGAAGATTATCTTATAACAAAAGAAGATATAATTAATTCAGGTGGACTATATTTTTATGTATATACGTCAGACAAAATCATGTGGACTGTGTTCTGACATTTGTGCTGTACTAAAGTTTAAGCAGAGTGGATATAAACAATAATTAAACAGTGATTAACTCGATATAAGTTTACACTACCTACCACATACGTAAATCAGAAAATGAAAAAATTACATTTAACTTTATAAAAGCATGCCCATCATCGGAAATTATTTTGATTGACTTTAGAGAAAAATATAATTAAAGAAAAGTAAAGAGTAAGCAGTTATATAGAAATTGGCATCATTTGAAGGCTCTATATTTTTGTATTAATAATCAAATTTTGCTTCAAAATGCTAAACTCAAACTCAAACTAAGTATTGAATGTATTGAAATTCAAGTATTTTATCATTTTAAACATCCAAAATTAACTAGATCACCATACAAGAAATCCATTTTCAAAAATAAAAGTTTAGTATTTTCTTAATAAATCTTTTAACAACTGGATACTGAAAATTAATTAACAATTATTTGTTATAATTGGATTATTCTAAAAACGGAATTGTTATGAGGAAAGATTCCTCACCCTCGTTTCACGTCCCCAAGCCGATCGTGTAGCAAACTGGTCGTTATTGGATTTAAGAGGGTGATGTCAAAAGTGAATTATTGAGATAACTAAACGGGACAAACTATACCTACTTGTGTTTTTAATGCTCAACAATCTTGTGTTTTGTCGACTTACTTTTGAACCTTTTCTAGAGAAGAAAACATTTGACAAAAAAAATAGAGAAAAAAACATTTTGCTTAATTCAGTGGAAAAAATAAATCATGGGAAATGTTATCTTATAATGTAGGGAAAATTTAAAAATAAAACAAATCAGAAATTGCTTAAGCCTTTCTAGACATCTTTGGAACTACAAAGTTTCCAACTTTATAAAGCTACAATGGTGAAATTTAGTGAATGATCGTCTAATAGCATGTGTAAGTCGAACGGTCAAACATGATTCTAAATATAAAAATAGAAAAAAAATTATTTAAAAAAAAATATAGATAAATTATGATAATTTTTTTTTAAATAAAATTAAATATATTGTTAGATTATAACTTATAATTTTAAAGAAACATCAAATATAGTTATTAACTTTTAAATTTTTTTTATTAAATCATAAATATATCGTTAATTTTTTTTGAACAAAGTATAAAATTAATTTGAGACGGTCTTGTTAGTCGCCAACTAGATCTTTGGTTTGCATGTTCTTTTATGTATTTAAATAATATGTTTAAGTGAGTGAGGGTATGTATTAATTAGATATGTTCAATTAACTTTGGAAACTATAACAAGTACAAGATTACTAATATGTCTGTAATTAAATTATATACTAGAAACACACCAATTAATTCCTTTTACAAAGTCCAAACACAAAGAATCTTTTTTTCCTTCTCCTGTAGTAGTATAATAGTAGAAATAAAGTTTAAAATGATCTTGTATGGGGTTACAAAGTCCAAAATCAAAATCGAAGCCTAACCAAAAAAAAATGATTTATATCTAGCCTAAAATGTAAAAAATATTAGAATGATCTTATATGGTGTTGCAAAACATATTTAAATTTGAAGTGCTCTAATCCGAAGATATAATTTGAAAATAAAAGTATCCAAAGTAAACGATTCGAATATCCAAATTAATATGCAATATAAATATTTGAAACATATATACACATATATTTCAAATATTTAACTCCATCGTTATTTAGATATTATATCTAAAATAATTATTGTAAACGTAAATAAATACTTTAAATATCTTATTTTATAAAAATAAATATTTATTTTTTTATGTTTTTTTTTAATTTTAGATTTTACTTTAAATATATTTGAACTGAACTGATATAGCATGAAGCTATAAAATATATGGTTGTTTTATGAATTTTAGAATATAATATAAAATAGTACAAAACCGATATAATATATATGAATTCAGCCAATATTTCCATATTTACTAGAATGAGATTATGATGTGATACAAATTAAAACTGAAATTTGAAATACACAATCCGAACCGAGTACTGTAATGCTCATGGCACATGTGGTAAGAAGATGATTATCATGCTTACAAAATAACATGCAATAAGTACAAAGACTTATGTTCAAGAAAAACATCAATATATATATTCTTCTTAATAATACATAACAATCTTTATCAATTTGTTTTTAATCTTTGATTTTTAAAAAAATAATTTATCTCTAAAATAAACTATTACAGCTCAAGAGGGCATACTTTTAAAACCTTTGTCTTCCATTTTGGAGAAAACAGAAATTTATTGCAATAATAATTGAATCCTTCAAAAAAAAATAAAAATAAAGATTTCAACTTTTTATTTGACCCAACTGTCTCTCTCTCTCTTCCCTCTTTTCATGGTGTAGACCCAACTGTCTCTCTCTCCTGAGCTCTCTTCTATCCATCTTGGTTTCCATGGAAGCAAGTTGATGTATTCATTTCTCTCTATCTTCAGCGTACATGAACAGTGACTGTTCTCTCTCTCTCCTTTCTTCTTCTTCCCTTACTTAATCCTTCTGTAAAAACGGATATCTCGTGATCTCTTTCGCTCAAAAATCTCAACTTTAAGGTAACAATTAAATGTTTTTTTTTTCATTTCTCTCTCTCGCTCTCTGTAAAGCTCTGTTTTTTCTTTCTGGGTTATATTCTCTGATTCTTGTTAGATCCAAAAGGTCCTTACTTTAACGAGATCTGTGTAACCATACAGCCAAAGATAAAAAAAAATAACTCCACTTTTTGCATTGAGAAAGTTTCGATTCTGTTTATGCTGATTTTGATTCCATTGATTAACAATTAGATTCCCAGCTCAAGATCCATTTCAGCTCAAATTCATTCCCTTTACGTTCTTCAGACTCTGTTTTTTTTTTTTTTTGTCATCAGACTCTGTTTTTGAGGAGAAAATATTTACTTTAGAGCTTATTGGTGTATATTTTAGTAAGATCCGTGATTTTAATCTCTTTATTTTCAAGCTTCTCATGATTATTCAGTAACTGATGCTATTGTTTTGTTTTTTGATGACTAGATCAGGTCACTGGCTGATGGAATCTGTAGCAATATTGCTTAGTAGAGTCAAGAAAATAATTGGTTCCTAAAAAAAAAAGAATCAGTTCTGATTAGTTTTGTTTAGTTACTCCATGGCCTCCAAGACACCAGAAGACTCACTCACCACTTCCAGTAACAGTATCTCAATCAACACTTTAGCAGATCAAGTATCTTCAACTCTGTCTTTAGCCGATCCAAGTAGCACTGACAGCAAAACCTGTACTAACAATAACAAGACCAGCGAGCAAGGTGAGAGCGGGAAGAGTAGTACTTGCAGACCGAGCACAAGCAGTGATATAAGCGATGAGAGCACTTGTAGCAGCTTCAGTAGCAGCATCAACAAGCCTCACAAGGCTAATGATGTGAGATGGGAAGCTATTCAAGCTGTGAGAACCAAACATGGTGGTTTGGGTTTGAATCATTTTAGGCTCTTGAAGAGGTTAGGATGTGGAGATATTGGAACTGTTCATCTAGCTGAGTTGAATGGGACGAGGTGTTATTTCGCCATGAAGGTTATGGATAAAACCGCTTTGGCTAGTAGGAAGAAGCTTCTTAGAGCTCAGACTGAGAGAGAGATACTGCAGTGTCTTGATCACCCGTTTCTACCGACTTTGTATAGTCATTTTGAGACTGAGAAGTTCTCTTGTTTGGTTATGGAGTTTTGTCCTGGTGGTGATTTGCATACACTGAGACAGAGACAGCCTGGGAAACGCTTCACCGAGCAAGCAGCTAAGTAAGAAACAATGTTTAATACTTTCTTTCCTTCTCTGTATTGACTTTGTTTTTACTGTTGTCAGGTTTTATGTAGCGGAAGTACTACTTGCAATGGAGTATCTACACATGCTTGGGATCATTTACCGTGATCTGAAGCCTGAGAATGTTCTTGTGAGAGATGATGGACACGTGATGCTTTCGGATTTTGATCTCTCCTTGAGATGTACCGTTAGCCTCTCTATAGTCAGATCAACAAATCTTGGTTCTTCCGAAGGTTTGTCAAAGAGTTCAGTTTCTTGCTCGCAGCAACCAGCTTGCATCCAGCAACCATCTTGCATCTCAATGGCTCCAACGTCCTGCTTTGGTCCTCGGTTCTTCTCATCTAAATCCAAGAAAGACAAGAAACAGAAAACAGACAACGGTAACCACCAAGTGACTCCCTTACCAGAGCTTGTTGCAGAGCCAACAAGCGCACGTTCTATGTCATTTGTGGGGACACACGAGTACTTAGCACCAGAGATCATCAAAGGTGAAGGACATGGAAGCGCGGTTGATTGGTGGACATTTGGGATCTTTCTTTACGAGTTGTTGTTTGGTAAAACACCGTTTAAAGGGTCAGGAAACCGAGCAACGCTGTTCAATGTGGTTGGTCAGCCTTTGAGGTTCCCTGAGTCTCCGGTTGTTAGCTTTGCAGCTAGAGATTTGATAAGGAGTTTGCTTGTGAAGGAGCCACAACATAGGTTAGCTTACAAGCGTGGAGCAACGGAGATTAAGCAACATCCTTTCTTTGAAGGAGTGAACTGGGCTTTGGTTAGGTGTGCTAGTCCACCTGAGATTCCTAAACCGGTTGAACTTGAACCGGTGAATTGTTCTCCTGCTGTACCAGCTGCTGCTGCATCTACAAGCGTGAGATCTGATCAGAGCAATTATCTGGAGTTTGATTTCTTCTAAAGGTGCTTTGATAAGTCTCTTATGGTTTCTTTGCAAATTCTGCAGAATCTGTTTAGTGTTTCTTCTCCTTTTTGTCTGTTTTTCTTTTCACGTTTTGAACAAGTTATGAGATTTGTATCATTCTTCAACAATCTGAGACAGTCTCTGTACCATCTTCTGAAGTTAAATGTTATTAGACACGAACATGCAGGCCTGAGCTACAACTGTACAACACAAGGAAACGAGACTAAACAACCAAATATCTTTGATCCAATTTACACCAACAAAACCAGTTTTTATTCACATTATAGACCATAGCTGCAACTGCCTCTGATCTCAAACCACAAAACCTTCTTTAGCACACAGCTTTCTGATTGTCCACTACAATAAAAGTTCTCAAATCTTGAAAAGAAAGCATACATCAAATGGGTTTCTCTCCAGGGAGATAAGAAGGAGAACCCCACTCCACTTGATTCTTCTTTCTATTAAAGATTCCACTTAGAATCGGTAAAAGCACTTTCTTTGATACCACAGAGGTTTTCGTCTTCTCCAGTTTCTTGTTGACAGGCTTCTGTTTAGTAGCTTTGTAATGATGTTGCTGGGATGACTCAGCTGACATCTTGGCCTCAGCCTCTGCAAGAATCCTCGAGGCCGTTTCCTCTGCTTTCTTCTGATCCCTTTCACGCCACCTCCTGAGTTCTCCTTCAACGGCTTTCTTAGCAGTATCAGCCATAGCTGCTTTCTTCAGTGCTTCTTCTGTTGCGGTCTTTAGCTTGTCAATCTCCTCTTGCGTCGTCTCTAACTTCTTAACTGTCTCGTTTTCACTAGCTTTAACTGCTTCCACCTGAGCCAGCGCAGCTGCTACTTTCATATCCGCCAACTTAACGAACACCTCAGCTCTCTTGCTCAACGAGTTAAACTCCACCTGAGACAGTGTGATGCTCTGAGCTCCAGACTCAGATGATGTTGACTTACGGACAGCGTTGGTTTTTTCAGACATAGATTTTATCTGTTCAAGCGCCTTTCCCTCGGCAGCTTTTGCTTCTTCGACTTCATCTAGAGCCACCCTCAAATGTAGCTCCGTATCTTCAAGTGTGAGATGCGCGGTTTCTGCTTCGCTCATTAACCCCTCGGCTTTGTTTCTCATTTCCTCAGCTTGTCTCCGAGCAGCCTCTGTCTCAGAAGATATCTGATTTAAAGTTGACATCATATCCTCCAAACCGTTCTTTGCTTTAGTTTCCTCTGCAACACTTTCTTCTAGCTTATTCTTGCTTTTGCTAAGCTTCAGGTTAAGATCTCCAGCTAGAGATTCGATCTCAGCCTCTTTCGCTTCAACTTCACTGTGCTCTGTTTTCACATTCTTGAGCTCTGCTTTGAGAGATTCCACTGACTCTTGCAAAGACTTCTCTTCTTCCACAAACTTCTCGAGTAAACCCTTTGCTTCATTCAACTCCAAACTCACACCATTAACAGAATCCACATCAGATGCTTTCACAGTCTCCATTTGCTTCTGCAACTCATCTATCTCGTTATACGTCTCACTCAGCTGAGCTTCAAGCTTTTTAGCAAACTCAGGGTCAAACTCTTTCTTCAAAGCGAGGAGCTTCTTGGCAGATTCTTCCATGCCAGCTTTATAACGTTGCTGCTGAATCTCCTTCTCTGAGAAAATCTCAGACTGTTCTTCACGAGCTCGAGAACACGCAAACTTAGTCTGTTCAACAGATTCATTAACAGATGCTATCTCCTCTCCAAGCAACTCAATCTTGTCAGAATAAACTTTAGTCACTTCCTTAGCTTCCTCTTCTTTGCTTAAAGCAACATTCTTTGTCTCACAAACCTCATTAGAAACCTGACGGATTTTCCTCAGCTCTTGCTTCGCTGCATCAAGCTCCTTACATACCATCACATACTCATCATCATCATTATTACTAGACACAGAAACAGTCTCTGCTTTGATCTGACTCTTGGCTGCTTCAGTCACTTTAATAGCAGAATCTCTCGACTCATTAACAGCTTCAAGCATACGAGTAAGCTCATCAACAGTTCTCTTACCCCTCTCAAGCTCACTCAACGCTTGCTCTCTAACTGTTTCAGCGTTCTTAAGCCGTTCCTTGAGCTTGTTAAACTCTTTCTGCGCTAAGTGAAGCTCTGTTTGCTTCACCAAAACTTTCTGCAAACCACACAAACTCAGAACCTCACTGAAAACCTGTTTGTGAATTAAAAGTGTTTACTTTACCTCAGCGGATTGAGGATAGGGTTTGCGAATGAGAGAAGGCTGCTGCTTTTCAGCAGAAAGGGAAGAGGAGGCTTCACCAAAGAGGTTAACAGCATGTTTAACAGATTGAAAAGGAGCGCTTGTGTCAATCTCCCCAACTTCAACCTCTGAAGAAGAATCTTGACGTCCTTTCTTAGCAACCATTTTGCATTTTTTCTTTCTTTATACAAACTCAAAACCAAGACTCACCACCTAAGACACACACACATACACACACAGACAGGTTATGAATGGTTCCATTAATTAAGCAGTAAGAATAAATCAAAACCCTAAAACGTAATAGAAGAAAGGGGAAATATCTTCATTAAAGAAAATGAATGTACAAGTGTGTCTATTTATACAAGTATGCTTAACTAACATAATTAACTTAACACTAAGTGTATACACACTCTATTAGGCCCCCTCAAGATGGCGTCATAATGTTAAGAAGACCCATCTTGGACATAAGCTTGGTGAACACCATCGGATATAAAGGCTTGGTAAGAGCATCAGCCAGTTGGTTTTCTGATCTGACATGAAGCGTTCGAAGCTGGCCTGCAACAATCCGTTCACGAACTGCATGACATTCACGCTCAATGTGTTTGGTGCGTTCGTGAAAAACTGGATTCTTGGCAATGTGTAAAGCTGCAGTACTGTCACAGTAAAGAACAGGCGTAGAAGGAGAGGGACAGCCTAACTCTGCAAGCATACGAGACAACCAAAAAATGTCTTTCGAAGTAGAAGACATAGCACGATATTCAGCCTCTGCTGAAGAGTGAGAGACAACGTCTTGCTTCTTGGACTTCCATGCAATGAGTGATTGGCCAATGAAAATACATGTACCAGTAACACTTCGACGAGTATCAGGGCAGTTTGACCAATCAGCATCACAGAAGGCTTTGAGTTGGTAATCATTATCCGCAGGAAAGAATAAACCATGACCAATCGTTCCTTTCAGATAATGAAGGACCTTGTGAGCAGCATGTAAGTGAGGTTTGCGAGGCGCAGAAGAAAACTGGCATAACTTGTTGACGGCAAATGAGATGTCAGGACGAGTAGTAGTCAAATACATCAACTTGCCAATCATTCTGCGATATGACTCTGCATTAGGTAAAAGATCACCATCATCTGCAGCAAGACGAACACTCGGATCCATCGGGATAGAAGATGGTCTGCAACCGAGTAACCCCGCATCTGTAAGAAGCTCAAGAACATACTTGTGCTGACAAACCGAGATACCAGATGCAGAACGTGCTATTTCCAGGCCAAGAAAGTATTTAAGAGTTCCCAAATCACGCAGTTTGAAGTGACTTTGAAGAGTAGAAACAAACCACTGCACTGCCACTTCATTATCACTGGCGATGAGAATATCATCAACATAAACCAGAAGAATAATGGTGCCACGAGAAGAAGTTGATAGAAATAGTGTATGATCACCATTAATCTTCCCAAAACCCATGGAAAGAATAGCTGAAGAAAACTTCTCGAACCATTGACGAGATGCCTGCTTTAGACCATATATTGATTTCTTTAAACGGAGCACAGCATTCGGAGGTAGATTCTTTCCAAGTCTTTCAGCATAACCAGGAGGTAAGTCCATGTATATTTCTTCATGTAAATCACCGTTTAAGAAAGCATTTGATATGTCAAGTTGATGAAGGATCCATTTCTTCTTCGCAGCAAGAGCCAAGATCATCTTAACTGTTACCATTTTCGCAACTGGAGAGAAGGTTTCAACATAATCAATACCTTCTTTTTGCGTGTAACCCTTGGCAACAAGACGACCTTTATGTCTCTCAATAGTACCATCTGCGTGAAGTTTGAGTTTGAAGATCCATTTACACCCGACAGCACTTTTACCTTCAGGTAAACTACAAACTTCCCATGTATCCAGTGCCTCTAAAGAACTAAACTCAACATCCACAGCCTTGCACCATTCCTTTGATTTCTTTGCTTCCGAAAAAGTTAAGGGTTCAGAACAAAGAAGAATTGAGTTGATAAAAGCAAAGTGAAGATCAGAGAGTTTGTTATAAGTGAGATAACGAGAGAGAGGATACAATGAAGTGAAGTTACAATGATAGTCATGTAAGTAAATTGGAGGTTTACGGGTACGGGTAGATGTTACTGCTAAAGGCAGACTAACATTAGAAGATGACATTGATGAATCATCAGATGATGTTGGTACAGAAGGTACAACAACATCAGGTTTATCAGGACTTGAAAAGAAAGCTTTTGCTGGATCAGAAAGAGAAGAATCAGCAAAAGGAAAAATGTTTTCGTGAAACAGAACATGTCTTGAAATGGAGATGCTGTTAGTCTCGAGATCTAGAAGTTTGTATCCCTTGAAACCAGTTGGATAACCAATGAAGACGCAAGCTTTAGCACGAGGATCAAATTTAGTACGAGATTTTGGAGAAGTGCTTTTATAGCACAGACAGCCGAAAGTTTTAAGCTGATCATAAGCAGGAAGTTTAGAAGTGAGAATTTGAAAAGGAGACTTATGATCAAGATTTGGATAAGGAAGGCGATTGATGAGAAAAACAGCAGTTATAATGCAATCACCCCAAAAAGAAAGAGGAATGTGAGATTGGAACATTAAGGCACGAGCAACATTTAGGATGTGTTGATGCTTTCGCTCAACAACGGAATTTTGTTCTGGTGTTTCAGGGCAGGAATGGAAAGACACAATGCCCTTGTGTTTATAAAGATCAGTAAAAGAGAGTTCAGGAGCATTGTCAGACCTAACAGACTTGACACGAGTATTAAACTGATTTTCAACCATTGTTAAGAAATTTGGAAAGACAAACAAGACATCAGATTTCAGTTTCAGCAAATAAACCCAAGTGGCACGACTATGATCATCAACAATTGTTAGAAAGTATCTAAAACCTTCAGATGTGGGTACAGAGAAAGGACCCCAAACATCTATGTGTAAAAGATCAAAAGAAGCAACACTTGTTGTATTTGAAATAGGAAACATTAATCGTTTCTGTTTAGCAAGATGACATACATGACAATGATGTTTTTCTTTTGAGTTTGTAGATTTCAAATGTAAAATACTAGACAATGAATCAATTTTAGGATATGCAGGATGACCTAAACGTGCATGCCATGTGTCTATATCAGCAAATGCAGAACAAACTATCTTGGTACCTGAGTAAGCATGAGCAGAAATTAAAGACCCTGACTCCAAGACATATAGATTTGAAACGCGTCTACCCTTGCCAATCATCAATTCCTGAGTAAGATCCTGTATGAAGCAAGAAGAAGAAGTAAAGCTAATCATTGAGTCTACTTCAGAGGTAAAAGAACTGACACTCAGTAAATTGAAACGAAACGCAGGAACAAACAACACATTTTTCAAAACAATTTTATCACTCAATGACACAGAACCTATTCCAACAATGCTCTCAGAAATTCCCGAAGGAAGAGTAACAAAAGTGTCAGTAAGAGGAGTGAGATGAGAAAATAAGGAAGCTGAATGAGAAACGTGATGAGTTGCGCCAGAATCAATTATCCAAGAGTCTTCAGGGACAGGAGCATCTCCAGAAGCAAGCACAAAAGACATGCAAAAAGGAGTAGGTTGATAAAGAGAAAGGAAAGTACCAGACTCCTTGGGAGTTGATGATACAGCTGAAGTGGAAGCAACGAAATTCTCAGGTGTAGGAGAAGATGCAACGCTGTGATTGTGGAGTTGAGTACTGAAGAAAGCAATGAATTGCTGCATCTGCTCAGGAGTTAGTGCAACAGAGGAAGTGTTGGTAGCTTGTCTTGCAACAGGAACCGAAGACAAAGGAGGCTTGGAGATCTCATCAGAGTTATCAGGAACGGTGACCAAATTAGCAGATGCTTTAGGCTGAGAGCTATTGTTGGACTTCGGATATTTAGATTTGAAACCTGGAGGAAATCCATGTTTCTTATAACATCTATCCACAACATGACCTGCAACACCGCAGTGAGTACAAACTGGCCGACCTTTCTGATATTGAGAAGCTCCATTATTGCCTGAAACCTGAAAGGCTGACAATTCTACACCACTAGATGGTGAAATGCGAGCAGAACGCTGAGAATCATCATTATCCAGAATGTTATAGACTTCAGAGAGAGTAGGAAGAGTCTTCTTCATGAGTATTTGACTACGAACATGATCATAACTCTCATTAAGTCCCATGAGAAAGTCAATCACTCTATTAGTTTCCCTCTGAGCCAATAATTCCTCCACTGTAGTAGCAATCGGTTGAATACTAGACAGTTCTTCCCAATAAGTCTGCGTCTGAGTGTGATAAGAGGAGAGATCCATGGTGCCTTGACGCAAGGAAAGAAGCTGATGACGAAGCTTGTACAGTCTAGGAAGATTCGATTTGTGGAAACGAGTATGAAGATCTTTCCACATGTCAGCAGCCGTTGAGAAATACAAGATACTAGTGTAAATCTTCTTAGTAACAGTGTTGAGCAACCAAGATTTCAACATACTGTTGATTCTACACCAGACCTTGTGATATGGATCAGTCATTTCCGGTTTAGGAATTGATCCATCAACAAATCCTAGTTTGTTCTTAGCTTCTAAACTAGTAGTCATTGCAACAATCCAGGTTCCATAATTCGATCCATCAAGAGATTCCGAGACTAATACTAAACCAGGATGATCTGAGTTCAGCAAGTGATACAGACTATGGAGATTATCAGGAGAATCTGATACCTCAAAAGGACGAGATTGAGTTGGAGCTGGATTAGCAGAACGATGAACAGCAGCGCGATTCGAAGAACCAGATCCTTCGTGAGAGAGATCAGCGTTGCGGTTATTGGAACGAGGCGGAGAGAGATCATCCTCAGCTTGAGATGGAGTAGATGTGCGATACTTCGAGTTGCACTTTCGTTTTCCCATGATTGATCAATCGGAGCTTCGATAATGATGATTTGAAGAGAATCGGAGCTGGAGAAGATTGACCGGAGCGATGTGGAAGACGAAGTACGAAGACGCGAGAAAAGATGATTTGAGATGATGATGAGTGCGGAAGCGAGATGAAATTCCAGAGATCGAAATCGAGGAGGAGGATGAGGAAGATGCGACGGAATTGATCGGAAAAGATGATCGGGAAAAGGTTGTTATCGCCGGAATGAAGAAACGGTTATGACAGTTACGGTGGAGCTTGGAGCTCACCGCTCTGATACCATAATAGAAGAAAGGGGAAATATCTTCATTAAAGAAAATGAATGTACAAGTGTGTCTATTTATACAAGTATGCTTAACTAACATAATTAACTTAACACTAAGTGTATACACACTCTATTAGAGAGGTTAACTTTTTAATTGATCCGAACAGATCGTAACAAATCAACTACACAGAGAGGCAAATCGAAAACATGTAAAATCTTTAAAAGCCTGACTGAGAAAGCTTCTAGAAAACAAGCGATGGTTTATCGAAATCGTTACCTGATGAAGTGTTTGAGCTTTTGGAAGGAAGGAGATGATGGAAGTTTTTGAATTTTTTTCAGAGAGAGCAAAAATAGTCAGTGGCGATGAGAGAGAAACAAGGAGAAAGAGAGAGAGAGAGAGGAGTGAGAGGGAAGGTGTATTGGCTTGACAAATGGCGGTTTTTGGTTGGTCAGTAGGAAACCTAATTGTTTACTTTTTGGACGGCGCGTAAATCTCCAGTTTACTTTATTTAGCCTCTTCGATCGTGTTACCATAACTCTACTGCCTCAGAAGAAATGTTCTAAAAAGCATTAGACCGTGAAAATTTTTGTTTACTTGGACGTTTTTTTTAATCTTGTTAATTATGCAATTACATCCGACAATTTTATTTGCATTATGTGAATTCACGTCTCCGGAAGTTAAAACCTAAAACTTATGTAATCTGGGATACGAATCTTAAATTTAGGTGTAGAAGACTTTAAATTTTCACCACTAAACTACGATGCTTTCAAAAATTACATGAATGTCTAGACCAACTTTTTTCGTGTCTAGATCGATTTTTAAAAGAAACTAGAGTTTCACCCGCACATCCGTGCGGGTATATTTTTCATTTTATAAATATATAACTAAAGTATTTTAATATATGGTTTATATTTTAAGTTTTAATTATAATAATATCTAATAATGAAATAAAGAAATACTTATTTTATAAAAAAAATATTTAAAATTTTTGGTAAGATCTTATTAGATTTTTTCAACAGACTTTTTTATATTTAAATTTATTTATTATTAATATTCTTATTAGTTATTAAAATATTTTGAAAATAATATATATTTGACTTGTTAATGTAATAATCAAATATGTCAATTAATAATTAATAATATGGTCCAACATAACTTTTAAATAGTAGATAAATTTGGTACTTCTCTTTTAATAGAGAAGATTGATTCATAAAAATCGTTTAGACCAATTTTTACAACACTGCCCTCAAGAATTTAGAGTTAAGGCTATGTTATTAAAGGCCCACACTTAATTTGTTATGATGTGATTTAGCTGTAAAGTGTACTAGTTAATAACTCCATCGTTTAATATCTCATCATATGCTCTGGCCCAACCCATATAATTAAGAAAAAAAGATCGTAAATTTCCAAAGAAAAACAAATTGCGTGGAGGTTGATTGGGCAAATTCATAGAACTATTTCTCACGTGAGCTAGACGACATGAAATGCTAAAAAAAAGTTCTCATATATTTTGTTGACTAGTCAGAATGGGAGCGAGAGCCTCCTCCAAGGATGATCATATTGACAATGATTTTGTTCTTTTATACTTTGCCCCCAAGCGAGATAAGATCTTTATTTATTAAATATAATATCGACATTTTACAAAACGTTGCACATTTTTGATTTGTGATTTCAGAGGAGCCACAGAAAGGTATCTGGTATATGATAAAATCAAGGAAAAATGCAAGATAAATGAAACCAAAAACGACCCATATGAAGAAGCATTACATAATAGATACAGTGGCAACACGATTTTACAGCATTTTTAAGAAGAACAAACAACTTCAGAGATGAAATCATAATCGTGGATCGTGATTACTAAAGTGGGTGGCTCCAACTCATCTTAGGAACTATTTTTGTGGGTACTTTCAAGAAAGACAATAAAAAACATAAAATAACATTGCTTTAGATGATCATCTCTAAGCAATGTGCTTTTCTTTGGGGAGGCAGCAAAGCAAAATTCATCTTTGTGTGTCATTCAGGAGTCCACAGCTGGAGATTGCATGCAGCAGAGCCATTTTTTCTGAAACCAAAAGAGACAGTACTGTGTGAGATTGATACAGAAAGAGAAGACAGAGAGATACATAAGAAAAAGAAAGAAACTTACAGGCTGGGGTTTACTAGGATCTCCTCCTCCTCCTCCTCCGGACTTAGCATGCCCATCAGTGGATTTACCAGGTGATCCGGGTTTGCCACCTGTCTTTTTCTCATCCCTAGCTTTGTTGAATATCACTGTGAAGCCTTCAGCTGATGCTGGATCGTTCACATCCCATTCACCAAACTTGGGCAAGGGACGACCTTTGTCCTGCTCATAAGGTGACACCAATATATATATATATAAGAGAAACACGTTTCAATATCAAACCTATTTGTGCCAAGTAGATGTTGAAATATAATTATTTCAGTTCACATGTTGATAAGTGCATGACCTTACAATAACAAAAGCTTACTTATGCCTTTAACCATTGTCAGCAAGATAAAGCCACAAACCAAATGGGAAAGCAGGACTTAAAACTGATGAAACCATTTCATACAATCAAGTACCATCAAGAAAAAAGGTTTGTACAATAGACCAAACTAAATCAACTTTCCCATAACTTCTACCAAACAGTATAACACCACAAGTCAAAAAAGAGTACCAAAACTAATAATCATAAGTCAAGGAAATTCAAAAGTTCGTATCCATTTTTCTTATCCCTTTTGTTAGGTGAGAAAAAAAAAACGAAGTTTGAAACTAGTACAATCAAATCTTTGTCTCTAAGTAAGCAAACATACTATCCTTTGCCTGCCCCTAAACAAATGCCACACACAATATTCATATGCCTCTTCACTATCAAATTGAATCAAGAACAATCTGGGGAAAATGATAAAAAAGTTAACAACAAACTCCTCTCTATTCAGAACTAATTCAATCTCAATTTCAGAATCAGAGCCCTTCATCAAAATCTAAGCTAAAAGAGAATCAATTCTTCAAAGATGACCTTTTTAATAAACCCAAGCTTAATAAATCAAATTAAGATTTAACTAAAAGCCAAAGATGGAAACTTTAAACTTAAAAAAAAAAAAAAAAACTGAGATCCAGAAAAAGGGATTATCAGCAACAACAAGATCATAAGCTCATCAGAATCACAAACAATATCACATCTTAAACTAAATTCTCCAAACTGAGGAAAAAAAAACGAATTCAAAAGGGTTTTGGAACGTACCGACATGAGGAAAGGAGGAAGATTTTAATCCCAAAGAAATGGAAAGAAACGATTGGGAGTAAAAAGGAAAGCCGCCGAGAAAACCAAGGGGAAAGTGTGAGAACACAATTGATCGCAGATGTGAGAGAGACAGACTTTTCCTATATTTATTTTTGCTTTCCCAAATTAATTCTTTTTGCTCTTTTATTTTGTCTTCTCGGTGCGATGTCTGTAACGGTTTATATAAACGGAGTTAATCCCATTCGACCTTACGTCTTTTGGTGTATTAAACGAAAAAGCTGAGCTGGCTAACGGCTGTTAAATGAGCGAATCCATGTTGGTTCGGACCGATGCAAAAGCAAGTGACTTTTGCTGGCTTTGTTTCCTTTTTGTCTCGTTTCATTTTATAAAAATAATTCTCATTACATTGATTTCTTTTTCTTTCAAAATAATAAGAGCATTTTGCTAAAGAACAAAATCAATTGGCTAACCTTTTTCTATTTCGAATATCATCTATATTATTAAAAGAGAAGTACCAAATATAAATAACCCTTAATTTTATCAGTTATTTACAATAGAATACCACTGAGATATTTATTGAACATATATTTAAGCATGCTTGTCTTTTCCTAATTTAAATAATAGATTTAAGTATTTAATATCTTTTCATAGTTTAAATAATAGATTTCCTTAGTCAAATCTTCACCAAAATAAGTTTCCTAATATATTTGGTATTACCATATTCAATATTTCTTTAAGAAATTATAGAAGTTACAGTTATACATATGTTTATATATTTTAAGTATTTATAATTTTTTTTAAGGGATGATAAGATTTTGGAGTTGGAAGAAATTATGACCCCCCTCTATATTATTTTAAGAAATTTAAAATTTATATCAATATATTTTATTAAATTTTTAATTTGAATTATTATAACTGTAAAGATTAATTTTCAATCAAACTTTATGTTTAAATATTATAAATACATCATTTAATATAAACAAAAACATAAAATAAATACCCGCCTTCAATATTTCTTTAAGAAATTATAGAAGTTACAGTTCTACATATGTTTATATATTTTAAGTATTTATAATTTTTTTTAAGGGATGATAAGATTTTGGAGTTGGAAGAAATTATGACCCACCTCTANCAATCAAACTTTATGTTTAAATATTATAAATACATCATTTAATATAAACAAAAACATAAAATAAATACCCGCCTTCAATATTTCTTTAAGAAATTATAGAAGTTACAGTTCTACATATGTTTATATATTTTAAGTATTTATAATTTTTTTTAAGGGATGATAAGATTTTGGAGTTGGAAGAAATTATGACCCACCTCTACATTATTTTAATTAAGAAATTTAAAATTTATATCAATCTATTTTATTAAATTTTTAATTTTAATTATTATAACTGTAAAGATTAATTTTCAATCAAACTTTATGTTTAAATATTATAAATACATCATTTAACATAAACAAAAACATAAAATAAATACCCGCCTTCAGTATTTCTTTAAGAAATTATAGAAGTTACAGTTCTACATATGTTTATATATTTTAAGTATTTATAATTTTTTTAAGGGATGATAAGATTTTGGAGTTGGAAGAAATTATGACCCACCTCTATATTATTTTAATTAAGAAATTTAAAATTTATATCAATATATTTTATTAAATTTTTAATTTTAATTATTATAACTTTAAAGATTAATTTTCAATCAAACTTTATGTTTAAATATTATAAATACATCATTTAATATAAACAAAAACGTAAAATAAATACCCGCCTTCAATATTTCTTTAAGAAATTATAGAAGTTACAGTTCTACATATGTTTATATATTTTAAGTATTTATAATTTTTTTTAAGGGATGATAAGATTTTGGAGTTGGAAGAAATTATGACCCACCTCTATATTATTTTAATCAAGAAATTTAAAATTTATATCAATATATTTTATTAAATTTTTAATTTTAATTATTATAACTGTAAAGATTAATTTTCAATCAAACTTTATGTTTAAATATTATAAATACATCATTTAATATAAACAAAAACATAAAATAAATACCCGCTTTCAATATTTCTTTAAGAAATTATAGAAGTTACAGTTCTACATATGTTTA